GAGGAAGCTGAAGACAACCGACAACATCGAAGAGCATGGTCCACGAAGGCGTCTCTTCTCGTCGAAGTCACCACCACCGGTCAGGACCAAGGAACAACTCATGGAACTCGTCAAGGCGGCTCGCACCTTACCTCCCGCTGAAGAAAAAGCAAGCCAGTCACAGGAACCGGCTGTGATCGGAGCGAAGGCCTTGTTTACGCCAAGTGTCCACAAGAAATTGGTCAGACAGGCTAAATCATTGGACCTCCAACGGATACTCTACGAAGCACAACTTCAAGGAAGGATTCGGGAGCGGAACATGTCCGATGACGAGTAAACCCAACTAGCTCAATGCATCCACGCTACTATCCAGGACAGGGATAAAACTTTAAGACGACTCATGGTCCTGAGATGCGGAAAGCAGGAGTTACGACAACTCCAGCTGTATTCGGCTATTATAAAGGCAGTCCAACTCCTTCGCCACCCTTGCAACAACCCAGCGGCTTACGTGCTGGAAGTAGAACCTCGGCCTGGACAAGAGGTAACCGACAGGATTTCAACAGTAATGTCTGACAGCAGCGAGGACGGTGACGAGGTACCTACGACGAGACGCAGCAGATCCCCGGCTAAACAATTTTCGCCGAACCGAGCAGCATCCTACCCGACCAGGATGCCAAGTCAACCAGCTGCGGAACAACCACGCAGGTTCACACCTCGGAACACCCCGACTAAACCTAAAAAAACCCAAGAGGATATGGACACAACGTCTCCCTCCGAAGCGAGAGTCGGGTTACCAGTCGAAAAGTCACCACAAAAAGACGAACCGACTTCGGTACACTCTGGTCCACATCTAACAATAGATCAGTCTCGGGCAAATGAGTCGGCAACCGAGCCGACCAAACGAGGTAAAGCGAAGGAAATACCACCTCAGGATTCGTCAAAAGAATTCCATAACGATCCAGCTTTACAGCATGTCAGAGACCTAACACGGTCGGAACAGGATGTTTGCGTCGATATGGCATTCTCAGAAGACAGGGAGCAATGGCATATGCTGAGGATCCGACGAGCCAACTTAGTCGGAGACACTACAGCTGTCCGTCGAGAATACGACCGACTTACTGAAAGGATGGCTAAAGTTATGAAACGGATGGGAGACAACTATCGGGCGGAACAGGATCGGCCGAAAGCACTACAATAGGCTGCTCAGGTTTGACAAAAAATTACCGCTCCGACTCCTAAGTCGACCGCTGAGACGATATCACAGCTTGTCGTCAAGCTGGAAGTCCCCCAGCCGACTCGACAACCGTCAGTGAAGATCGACGACGACCTTGCCCTAGACGCAAAAAACATTCATTCAGATCGACCTCGCTCCTGACGGTACCGCGGCGTTCATATGATACATCTTTCCAGCGAGACTCGGTATTTATTTCTGCCATTACACCTTGTATGAACTTTACCAGATCCAGCAGATACCAGCGGCGTTGGAAACTATCGTAGCCCAACTTGGCACTCCGATGCGGACTATTATCCAAGCCGTATGGACGCGCGACCTGCTTTACACCCACGAACATTACGCGGGAAAGTATGGTTTCAGTGAGGATTACATAGATTCTTATGACGACGCAACAAAATTCATCAGCTGGTACCGAGCGAAAAAGACACTACCTAGCGGATTCACTTCGGAACCTTACGAAGCATGGATGTCGAACGACCTGGCACCCGGCGCACGACCGTTTGCGCTGAAGCTTCGGAAACATGCATCCAAAGAAAAGAAGACTAGAACCGAACGTTCAGTCCAGGAAACGGATGAGACAGACGATACATCTCAAAGGAGTGGCCCGGCGACATGTCGATCGAAGGAGCTGTCATTACGACCACACCACCGAACTCGGCCGGACGACGGCGAGGTAGACTATTTCGGCGGCGACCCGCCGATTCCAGTCGAACTGGGATAAGATCAGGTTCCCACATTGGAACCTGATCCCCCACTCGGAACACCTGAGGTGATTTCGAGCCAACAAACGGCATGGTCGAGAACCGACTTGACTGAGAAACAGTCTAGCTGAGAAACAGAACCCTCGAGAACCGACCTCGGAATGGACACTTTTTATTTGGTTGTTCTTACAGAAACCGATCAACCATGTACACAAGTGCTTTTACAGAAACGCCGGCCAACCTATGAAGATTACTCCGGCCAACCGACTCCGGAGCATAGACTGAGAGCATTACGCTAACATGGCGTGGAATACGTCGCTGCGTGTTTATCGTCGTGTTTGCCAAGCACCCGTGGCCAACTTAGGAACCGGGTAAGCCGACCAGCAACCTTCACTATCAGAAACAGCGGCTATCCTTCCGCCGAGCTGCCAACGGTGCAGGAGGATTAAGTAGACCATAGGAATGTAGGTCGACAACAGAGGTCGACCTTGTTCCTTGTACTTCAACCGACCACAGAGGTCGGTTGTGTACCTGGTAGGCCGCTCCGCAAAGAAATTGCGGAGACGGGCCATAACGAAGCAGAATGCGGAGTTGCAAATCGCTACCATAGCCGACCACATACTTCGACTATGTTAACGGTTGCCGACTCGGAAGACGATTCGACGGAAGCACACTGAAGGCAGTCTAACCGGATTCTCCGTTTGAACCCAGACATACAGGCTCTCAACTAGGAACCTGTACCCGGAGTCCAACCGAAGTCTCCCCCGGGGTATATCGGATTAGCAGCCGATTCACCAGTGACCACGACTACGCACGCTTCGAACGTGCTGCCTTTCCCTGAAGAGGAACAACGACGGTTTAGTTGCCTACCGGTGTATCAACGACTCCGCCGCCAACCTGCTTCGCCATGTCTTCAATGGAACATCCTAGGCAGACCGCGTTAGTATACACGACCTGCACCCCTTAACGAACACCGATGGCGAAAACCGTCTACCCGCAACAGAAACGGCCAGACGTTCTGCGTCATCGGCAAAAAAAATTCCCCCTCGGACACAGTCGTCTACCCCCAACAGAAGTGGCTAGGCGTCCCTGGTTCGCAACAAAGTAAAGAAGGCGAAGAATCAGATCTGATACTACCTCAGGAACTTTGCATTTGCATGAAGGTAGAATTTAAACCAAAGATTTCAGTGGAAGGGGACCACAAAGGCCCTTAGTCACCACAGGGAAGCATAACGGAGTACTAATCACTTGGCCAACAGATGCCATGGCAACATGCCATCCTTTAACCGGGACTCTAACGGCGCGAGACTCGGCCGCCCAGAGGCATTTCACTCGGGTAGACCGATCAAAGGGAGTTCGGATCCGACCCAGAGTTCATATCAGAATGCAGCCACAGAAGAACGGAGTTGTGCTGCCGAATATTTTTCTGCCAGTCCGAACTGACCGAAGAATATTCAGACACAAGAGACCTAGTCAACTGTAGTTGTGTGCACGGACCACCCTGGATTGAGTCGACCTGACGATTGCCGACTAGCCCCGCATGGGTGCAACGGTATAAGTCGCCTTGGTCGACTATGAAGAGGAAAGTATGACCGAATGGAGGTCGGAAATGTGTGACAACAAGTCGGCGAAGCACCCAGAGGTGGGACATCGACTTCCTAACGGAAGACCCTTTGGACGGTGCGAAACATACTTCAGCCGACCATGGGACATCGACATGGATAACCGACTCCAGGTCGAACATGTTGGCCGACACATGGTCGGTTAACTCAGTCAACATGATGGAAGAAGACGGATAACTATCTTGCGATGGACGAACTCGACCGGAAGGAACTTGCTTAGCCCCACATGGGCATGACACCGCAAGTTAACCCTGGTCGACCATCGACGGATGGAATAACCGACCTCGAGTCGGATACCATTATGACCGACTTCGAGTCGGATAACATTGTCCCCGACTACAGGTCGAATAACAACGGAATCCATTGGATGGGAGTCAACTGAACATTTCCATCAAATAAACTCAAGATTTCCGACCGGACCTTCGAGAGAGTTCGCATCGGATAACTTCATAACCGGGTTCGTGGTAGCAGAGTGAACGGTTTTAACCAATCACTTTCGAACGGAATTGATGTACTTGACGACCACACAGGCCGCATGACCTAGGCACAGCTTTTTCGGACCTGAATTTCGGAATCGGGAACTTAGCCGGATTTCCATGCTGCCGGTCGACTTACCGGTAAGCCGACCTTGGCCAACCGAACACGGTCTAATTCTCCCATCCAGAGAGGATGCTTCGGCGTTTGCAACCACAACAGTGCCTCTCTATCCCTATCGGACGGATACGAGTCGGAAGTAGGTGTTCAACTATGCTTATCCGACCTTGGTGAATTTAGCCGGTTACGACGGGTAACTCGGGAACCGACGCCCCGGACCCAGCTTACCGGACGACATTGGACAGGAGACCCAGTGGACGTCATCCTAGTCGGAATAGGACCCCCGGACAAATTTTTGCAATTTTTTTTAGCAGTTTTCCTAACAATCGGAATTTTAATTTTAATTTTATCCACAGAATACTTGGGTAGCTTGTTTTGTCAAAACATTTTTGCTATTGTTGAATAGTTGTTACAGAATCGCAACACTTTTGAAAGAAGTTGTAATTTATTTTCCAATTGGCATTATTTGGCTTCAGGATGTGACGTATTTTCAGAGACTGCTATATTTATTTTTGGGTAACTCAAAACCGTTATTACAGTACTTTGATAAATCTTATATATGGGCTCCCAACACATTACAGTCACATATCTGGGCTTCCCGCTCGTCAAAAAGGCTGCAAAACTGCAAGCAAGTGCATTTGATGGCGAAGTGCACTGTATCACTAAACTGAAAGTCAAAACATCCGATTGGTACAAGTGCAAGAAGATATAGCGCTAGTTTACCGTCAGCTACGAATCTGCCCGGTTTTCGACCGGTCCGCGGTTCGGTTTGTAATCGGTTCGGTTTTCAGTCGTTTTGAACCGGACTGGAGCCGAATGTCCCCTTTCTTTAGTTATTTTTCTCCACCCTCTTCTTCGCCCTCTTTTTTTTTTATTTTCCCCACCTTCTTTCTTCTATGAACATGAATGAACATGTATTATACAGACAGTAAAAACTAACAGAAGAAAGCCCAGCACTTATGGAAAATGACACCCCGACAAATTAGGCACAGCAGCAGCTTGCTTGAACATTTTGCACAGCACACTAAATGACCGCATGGCCTGAACATGATTTCCGAATCATTTTCATAGCAGACTTTACAGTTTAATTTCTCTTTAGGGTCTTCGGAAGTTAAAGATGCGGGAGCTTTTCGCGAGGGCTTCTTGTCGTTTTTTCGAACATCGATGAGGAACGCAGAGCCCTTCATGAGTCATTCTGCAAGAGGTATTGATAAAAACTCTTGACCTGAATTGATCGCAGCTTGCTTATAAGTTCTTCTAAGAATCATTTTCATAGCAGACTTTACAGTTTAATTTCTCTTTAGGGTCTTCGGAAGTTAAAGATGCGGGAGCTTTTCGCGAGGGCTTCTTGTCGTTTTTTCGAACATCGATGAGGAACGCAGAGCCCTTCATGAGTCATTCTGCAAGAGGTATTGATAAAAACTCTTGACCTGAATTGATCGCAGCTTGCTTATAAGTTCTTCTGCAAGAAATTTTGATGAAAACTCTTGTTCTGAATTAATCCAGCTTGCTTATAATACACGTCAAGTGCCTCTGTCATTAGATGCTTGATAAAAACTCTGTGCATCATTCCGCGTGCGTAGAGAACTAAGCGCCGGTGTGCGGTGCCCAACAGCGTAAACGGTTTTTGCAGTTTTCTCGCCCATGCCTTGCGCCAGCGCTACCTGCCTTGATAGCGTGTCCGGCCGGCTAGGTAATTCACTCATCAGCGTGCAAAATTTTTGAACGCGAGACCACCGTATCACACGCGCCAGCGTGCAATTATTGCTTGCGGGCGTTATGCCTGTTGTACTCCACACGCCAGCGTACCGTAAGCGCGAGCACATACTAGGGAATTTTAGATTTCACATAGTTCAGGCTCCGTCCACCAGAAACTACTGCGTCACATAAACAGTACGGTACCAGATTGAACAGCGTTTAAAATGCTTGTACGGATGCACACTTGCCGTGACGTACAGCTGAAAAATAAATCGAGTCAAGAGTACCGAGAGCGTGACCAACCTGCTCTCGGGGAGGCGGTTAGAGCACATAAAAAAGATCCACAGGCAGCATGCGCTGACTTGTTGCTCAGCCATACGTCTGAGCCGTTGCATAGATCCACGCAAGGCAGATAGTTTTTACGCGTCAGCCAACGACGTTAGGTTACGGCGCCTTACGTCGCGAACGGACGGTAATCGACCCGTAACGCCAACTTGTACCCGCAAGTCGAACTGGACGGAAATCTGTTTTGTGAAATCTAAAATTCGCTACTGATCACAAGAGGTATTGCACCGGCTAGAGCAAATGCGCACTATCAGTGCGGACAATGCCATACCTCACCCAGCACGCACTGCTCCTCTGATGAGTGAAATGCCATTTCACTGAACGGGAAAATGACCCACCCCTGACTTGAATATTGATTCCCCCCTAGGGGTCCAAGTGAAATCTGATAAAAGGGATTTCCTATACGTTAGGGAGCTACGCTTACGTCATTCTAATGAACCGGTATACGTATACCTGTGTACGTAAAAGTGAAAACTGATTAAAAGTAATTGATTAAAGTTAAAAATGAAGTTTAACTCAACTTCAGGGAGGTACGTAAACGGTATCTATGTACTACGTACGCGTATTAATACAGTATACGGAAGTGCAATTACTGTACTACAATACGTATTAATACGTTTACGTTAACTCTAAATGTCAAAACTAAGAACTGGGCAAAGTTATGAAGTCGTTATCACTTTATACGGTATCCATGTGTATACGCAAGCGTATTATTACAGTATACGCAAGTGCAACACGTAGAAATCGGTTTCCGGTATCCATGTGTATACGCAAGCGTATTATTACAGTATACGCAAGTGCAACACGTAGAAATTGTTCTTCCCATTACAGCACGAGTGCTTCTGCACTGTACTTTGTTATTTTCCCAACTACTTGATTAATAGCAAAGTTTTCCAAAAATTCCTAAAATAACAGGTTATTTTTTATTTTCGATTTTCTTATTTGCCTGCCTGATTATTAGTAAATGTTCAGATCAGTGTGCAATTAATTTTACAGCATAATCAACCTGAATTAGTTATGTTGTAATTTTCGCCTGCATGGAAATACAGTCGAACTAAAAATATTTACGATTAGGTAAATGCATGTACAGTGGCGTTACAAACCAGTGCGTATGCTTATGCCATTTACTTACAACCGTTGCTACCGCACTTTGTCTCTTGGCCCTGTTCTCACAGGCATGTTCAGAAATGGACTCTGTCCAGCATTCAGCTGTTATCACTGACAGAAATGCATATAGAGTATAGACAGATGCATGCATGCAGATGTTAGGTCGTACAGCCTGCAACTACGCACACTACGCAACAAAGTTTAATAATCGATAACATAAAACTCTGAGCGCACATACTATAATTAAAAACTACCAGCGTTATTGTACGGACCTTAATTTAATAAAATATCATTTAGAACGGTATTGTGGTTTTCTCATCCTGCACGTAATTATTATATTACAATTGTTAAAGCTGGTTATACTAACGTGCAAAAGAAGGATTACATTATTATGCAGCGATGATAGCAGTATTAGTTGTTTCTTGGTTTTTACTGAATTAGAATTCATTGATAAATTTCTATGGAAATCCTGCAAATCGTTGTGTCAAGCCGAACATTAGCGCTTCTGAGTGCCAATTAATTGTTTGCACTTTGTTTTCGACAGTCATTACTATCTGAACATCACCACGGGCAATCTAGCTGTTCCGGGAAAGAAAATGGAAATCAGCAATAGAATCATTATTCTAGAAGTATTTAGCCAAGTGAGATGTAGTTCTACGTGCTCTACACACTTCATGATTAATTAAAGCGCAGCCTTCATACAAAAAAGAGTAAAATTAATATCCGTGCATGAAATTAATACCCGTGCTGCTCAAATGCTATGGGGGTTTTACAGCGCCGTTATTTTGCATAATCAACTTATATATGTAGAGTATGAGATGCTACCGTTTGTGAACTTTCGCGGCTGTCGGAATGGAGTGTGATTATTGCGCATGGCAAAAAATGACGAGAATGAGAAACCTAAGAAACCTAATAATAAACTTGAAAATCCTCAGAAAACCTAAGAAAACTTAAGAAAGCCTAAAAACTAAGAAAACCCAAAAAACGTAGGAAACCGAAGAAACCTATGATAGCCGAAACGTACAGTTGACGAAATGAACGTTGGTCGAATTAGTGTTGGCCAAAATAAAAGTTGATCGAAGTGAACTGTGCGGCAGAAATGTAACGCTGCAAGTAAGTATGTTAAGCGCGTCATTTACGCACTTTACTGACCAGCGTCGTTTACGCACTTTGTTCCTTGTCCGCTTTCCGTTGCTGCGCTTGGCCCCATTCTCGCAGTCATTTAGATTTGGACTTTCTTTAGCGCTCAGTTTTATTACGCAGAGTAATTTCACATGCATGTAGGTTGGCAGGTCGATAAAGTATACATACAACTGCGCATACAGCTCTCAATCATTGAGCAAAAGCTGAAATTGCAGACTTTGATAATGCAAAACTCTTAGCACGCATTTAAATAAAAGGTTGCAGCGTTTATTGTACGTACCGTCATTCTAATAAGAGCATGTAAAATTTTCAATGTAAAACAAAGAGTAAGCAATGTGCAATGACGAAAGAAGAATAAAATGGAATTGCAAATAAGAAATAAAAATCAGAGATGGTAGGATGTTTTGCAATAAGTATACGGTGCAGGCCCAGTAAGCTATTGCATTTATGATATTACGCAACAATTATTCACAGATTGCCTTACATTCAAAAGCAACTTGCAAGTAAAATGAGAAGCTGAAAATCTGCAAATAAATTGCAAAAATTAAGCAACCTCAGTGCGTGACGTGAGCTCGAAAGTCGTTTTAGCCTACCGGGTAAACGTCAGTGCGCTTACGCATTTTATATCGCATAGTAGTCAAGTTTAGCAAGTTAGTACACATTAATGTAGAACCGAATTAACCAGTCTAAAATCGACAAATAAGTTTCAATTAAATTTTATGTAATGCATTAGCAGAACTTTGGTTACCTATAGCATGTGTGCAATGCTTGAAAGCCAATATGTGATGGCCTGTCAGTTATAGCCCTAGATAACAGTGACTAACATGTTGAAATGAAATAAGAAGAAAGTCAATTAATAAGAAGCTTCACAACAGCGGACATTAAGTAGGCGTACTGTGCTACAATAGTAAAAATTAAAAGTCAACTGCATATACGAAAAAGGTGCACCTAACTTACACTCATTCTTTTATAAACCCACTTATATGTTTCCCGTTAAGAAAACATAAAGTAGTTTGGTATATTGCCAATAAAAATGAAAGTTTTGCACGTGCAGAATGCGTAACCATAAATACGTGTTTGTGCATTTGATATCGGGTAATGGTCAACAGCTATAACCTGAACCTGATTAAAAAGACATAGAACTCAAAGTGTGAGTTTAAATAATTAAGTAAATTAAAACTCTTAATTCCGGCATCAAATTATTTTAGACATTAATGTGAAAAGAGATACAAAAAGGTAAACTTTCTCTATTGAGTTCTCTACATAAGTTGATTCCATGGAATAAATACAGGGGTATGGGCTCTATGTGTATTTTTTCAAATGGTTAGGTTGATGTACTACAGGTACATAGTACATACATGTTATGAACGTTGATTTTAAGCGTTTAATCATGTTAAGGAGAATTTGTACTACGGTCGCAAGATGGAAAACGAGATTTTCGAAATTCTACAGTTGAAATAAGAAGGGTTATATCTATTACTGGGCGGAAGTTGAGTAAAATTAGCTTGCAACGAAAAAATTTATTCAAGTTTTTTGGTTGACTATCAGGAGCAATTTGGCGGGCTGGGGTATTTTTCTACACTGCTGCCACCTGTGGTCAAAATCAGTGAAAGAAAGATTGCTTCGAGAAGATGCCTTGTGGTTGTTATGCAACATGCCAGATTGCAAGTGTGACAGGAACAGACAAGACTCATGTTTACACAATGAGGACACAGAAAGCATGACAAAGGCGTTAGACAATGGAAAGACATAGCGCTGTCCTGTGAGTGCACATGAAAGAGTGGCCAAAGTCCACTTTTCGGTGTGCACACAACCAGTGCGGCGGCACTGCAAGCGCAGAATCGGTAAGACCAAAGGAAAGCGCAGTACAAAAGAAGGTTCTTCGTCCCATCCTGAACAATTTTTGAAAAACAACTTCTAAAATCAATAACAATTCGCAACGATTTCAGAAAATTTCACACTTTGATCAGACTAAAGAAAAATCATTTTCAAAAAGAATTGTGAAGCGTTTTTGTGGAAAATGTTTATGTACTCTTTAGAAAATAAAATAAAGTAACTTTGGGTGTAAAAAAGTTTGTTTTTTTCAGTACCGGGTGGGTTTTTTTGAAAAATCGCTCCCCAATACTTTAGTCATTCTAACGGAACACACTGCTGTTCTCAAATGAAAAATTTAAAAAAATCTGCTTGAATTGTTATTGCGTCCGCAAAATAACGACCTTAAATCAGTAACTTTTACACTTTAAAAAAACCAAACCGAGTTCAGACTTCTAATATACGTAGTGAAAATATCACAGTGTTGGGTGCAGTGCACAGTTATCATGGAGCACGAAGACACGCATTGCGCCAGCGAGAACAGTCAAAAGAGGTCGAAATCAGTAGAATCTCTACTTAAGAGTAGGAAGGTTTTAAACGCAATTTGCACTGCATGCTGCATTAAATTAAATTACGTACCATGTAAAAGACGAGGAATGAAAAACGTAATTACTTTTGAGAGATTACTAGTGATGTGGTACTAAATAAAACTAAATAAATGCTATTTAATTAGTAAAAGCTTCCCTAAAATTAAATGTGTAGTAAACAGTAAAGTTTACAGGCAAAATTAGTAAAAGTAAGTAGATATTCAGCTACAATAGTAAATAGTAAGTAAATAGTAAGATTTAGCTTTCGTTAAATAAAAGTTATTTACTAATTCATTTACTAATAGAAATTTAGCGAATAACCAGATGAAAAACTCATTGCTGTACTTGGGTTGGTTCATCATTAACGGCTTTGCATACTAAAGTTGGTGCTCTAGCAGACGGTGGTAGTGCTGTTCACGTAAACGCAATGTACCACCAACCCGAAACTGCGGTTACGTTACGTATAATTATAGGCATTTGAAACAGTGAAATGCAGCAGCAGCCTGGCAAGCCGATTGTGCAGCACAGTTGTACTGTTAGATTTTGCCTTTACAGACCATATATTCGCATAAAGTACAGTAAATTTTAATTCCTTCATGAAATGCACAAGCGTCTCAGTATGATAATAACATTGAGTTACAAATTAAATTAAATTTATTTAGTATAATTAGTAAGTAAGTGGTTGGGAAAAATGGGAATAGTAAGTAATAGTAAGTATTTGAAAAATTTTGAGGTTAATAGTAAGTAATAGTAAGTAAAAGTTTTGGAAGATTAGTAAATAGTAAGTAAGGTAGCAGGAAGCTGTAGTAGCACATCACTAGAGATTACACCCCGTTCACGCCAAGTTGGCGGTGTCCATTTAAAAAGTTCCCATGAACCACTAGACAATATATTTAACGTTTTCTAACTTTTATGGGATCACTGAATCTATCCAACACCATTTGCAATTTGGGTTTCCAGGATTTGAGCTTGTTACGAATTACAGGAATTTTTAAACTAGAGAAGACCACTTTCAAAACGTGCTGCAGTCCAGCTATCTCGGTTTCTTTCCTCTCACATAAAATTCGTTTTAAATTCCCGTTTATGACGTAGTCCTAGGACGCCATGTCTGTTAACTTGGCCACTTGAAGCCCCTCCTGGGTCAGGGCACCGGCATAACGGTGGGCGTGGCCAAAGTGTGGGACGATCTCCTTTGCGAGGTCACCATGCAGCCGAGGGAAGTCCTCCTTGAACATGCACCACAAAATACGATTCACGAGGTGTTAGGCGTTAACTTTTTCACCACCATCATCAGCATAAGCGCGCCGCCCTCCATTGTAACTGTTTTCAATGGACACCATCCCTTTTTTCAACTAGCGCTTTGTTCTGGCGAAAAAGCGATTTTGCTCCCCTAGGCGTTTTGCAGGTTCGGTCTAGTTGTTGACGTCTGGTTTTTTTTCACGAATCACTCTGTTGGGGGTCCTCAAATTGACCTCAATTTCAGGTGCCTAAAGTCGTTTCGGAATTTCTGGTTGAAATAAATTGTGTTTCAGCACTGCCATGACTTGTTCCTTTGGTGCCTTCGCTTCGGGAAGTGTTTCTGGCAACACTCCAACCCAAAATCCATTACGTTTTTGTTTAATGAATGCGCAAAAGAAAACTGCACTATAAACTTTAAAACATTGGCAAAACATGCGCCATAGGGTTCGCAAGAAAATTAAATGACACACCGCCAACTTGGCGTAAACGGGGTGTAGTTAAAACAATCTGCTCAGCTTGTTAATAATTAGATCGCGCTGAATTAGACGTACAACCTTTTGTATAGAACATTTTTTAGGAAAGCATTGCACGTGACGCTTGGTTATAAAATGGTTATGCATTACATTTACGCAGTCTAAAACGCAATGAGATTTGACGGTTTAATTTGAGGCCTATGGATTAACTATCTTATATTAAGGAGAGTCAGCAGTCTGTTTACACTGTTTAAAGTTTCAATCATTTTAAATTTGTTTTCAATTTTGCAAACTTTAATTCGGAATTTATTACATTCCAGTGCTGTGACTGCTCAAACTGTCAGCACGCATCATTTTAATTAGTTTCTGCCAGCGCAAGGTCATTGTTATGTGAACTGGCCATTGCCGAACTAAAAATATACTATCTTATGCCACAACAATTGCAATAAAATTTCAAATAATTATAATGTTGCGTATGAACTATCAAAGCAACTACGCACTGAAAATAATTACGTTATGGCTGCGTGCACGGGTAACTCATTCAAATTTTTATATTAAGTGTAAATAATATATAATTTAATTATAATTTTTTTATATAATTATTACTTATGGAAACTTACTCACTTAACCCATAATTTTCCAACGAAAAAACAGTTAAGTACCTACAGCAAGTAGAAAAATGTACTGCGAAACTTGCTGTGCATAGCAAGTACAGTATATGTTACCACCTAATGGGCCAGGTCAATTGCATCTGGGTAACCACTGCGCGTCGGGTAACGGAGAAACGCGTAAAAATCTGTCCATAACTTAGCGAAAAATTTATCGTCCAATCGTAAGTCGAGTACGCTTCCGTGGCAAAAAAGAAATTGAACAAGAAAACTGAGGTGGAACCGAAAATTTCATTTTTGATGCTTTAATGTGGTACTACATCAAAAAAGTTAATTCTAAGTTCAGGAGTGTCAATCTGGGTCGCTGGATGCACTTTTGGTTCAAACAAACAAAAATTTTGTTGATCTGTGCAGGAGAGTTACGAGTTACTCGTAGTTTGGATAACGGTTGCGCTTCGATTTCGAAGCGCAACGGTTACACGCACGGATAAGCTGAAAACACATCCCAGAATTCTGGTTTACCGATCAAATCGTTTACCAGCTTACGCGCCGTGACGTCACGATTTTTACCCGACTGCCGCTTGCGCGTCGCGTAAGACTTACACAGAGCCATTGACCTGGACCAGTGCTTGTTAGTGCAGAACCATGAAGTTCTTGAAAGTCACAGAAACAACAGCCAAAGACGTGAGAATTTCTGTAATGCAGCCATGGCTACCGCGTTTGTTTTCCGGATGGATCATGGAACGGTCTTTTTTGAGCAGGGTCTGATGCGAACACACTTGGTGGCCGCCTATGAACCATGCAGTTGACACCATTTCTACTTGCATCAAGCCGCATAGAAAAAATCTGAGCCGTAAAACGAAGTATCTGTAACTATTTTTAAATTATGTATGGCACATGAAAAAATACGTGAGAAACCGGTCGAAAAACTGTTGTGGTTGAATAAGACCAGAAAAACTATAAATGTTACGACCGAAATTTAAAAATCATAAAAACAGTAAAAAGCCGTGCCCCAGCCAACACCCGTACGGATCCCCACAAAGGTCGCCCGTGCAAACAGCGAATACCCGTGTCCCAACTCCGTGCACGCAGCCAACAACCGTGTTTCCCCGTGCACGCAGCATCGACCAAATAATTATGATCGAAGACATTGTGATTATTAACTGGAAAGTACTGTAACCAGATCGAAAGTGAATAATTGACTATAGCGGTTCAGCGGTTGCGAATCAGTTGACTGCTATTAGCGGGCGGAATGAAATTTAAAATGCGCAGAATGAGCGCAAATAATCTTTGGGGATATATCTGAGCAAAGTTTGATTGGTGGCTGTTCAGGTAAAAACTAATAGAATTTCTCAGAAAACTGTTCAAAAAACAAAACTTTCGAAGTAAAAATGTCACATTTTTAATGTCCAAGGTTTTTTTCGGTCTACGCATCGGTCTACGCATCGGAAGTACTTAAAAGTTAAATGTACACATAAGAATTGCGAAATCATGGATAGCTGAGAGCCTGAGAGTATTATTATTTTATTTACTAGCGTTATTACGTCAACGTCATATGCAACCTGCGTCTTAATAGAACCCGAATGGACAATTTGCAGTCCTTTCAGCTGCCCGTACTTTTAAACCGTCTTTAGTCAGCAGGAAAGTTGCTCATTTTAACTCAATGAAAAGTCACAGATACTGTGCTAATAAATATTGTTAACTTACCTGTAACGCAACTTTTTGTCAATAAAAAAATACTCTCTGAGTTGTACAGCGCAGGGTGACCTTCTCTTTCAGAAGCACAGCACATCCGCAGAGAGATTCCAAAGGCAACGATGTATTTATGGAAATAGCTACTATACGATTAATGGAGAAAACGATTTTCAAACTGCAATGCGCTTGTTTATATTGCCTCGCTGGCCCCATTCATTTTTATGGTTGCTCATTACATGGACTTTATACATCCACTAGATCCGCTACACAGGCAATAACTGAGTGATAGTCATTATAATCCTGGTACAGATGTAGCCTTATCATTTTGTACTGATTTCATTATCTTTTATACTGATTCTAAAGTCACAAGTACAGTACAAAAAGTTGATTATGAGCTGCATGCAAATTGTTTAGTATCTGTAATAATAAAATTTTCTGATATGTAATCTACGTAACAAAATCTTTAGTACGGTAAATACTTGCAAGTTTAAATGTTCATTTTTGCATAAAAATGCACATAAGCACTTACATTTAAACTCTGTAACTAACTTCCGTTTAGTCCGCACTGATAACGTAAATGATTTACGATACGATAATCTGCTTCTTAACAGGGCCACAGCTGTGTAGTACATAATCGGCACATCGTTATTTGATGCTATGTTTGCGCGTGAGAAAATGATACGAATCACACGCTTGTGCAGTTGCAATCATCCACAATTGAAAAGCGGTCCACAATCTTTGGCTCAGAATTATTAACAGGATACATTCTTTTCCACGGTTGTATTCACATCACTACTGAAGCATTGCTCATAAAATATCGCCAGTCTCTAAATTTTTTCATGATAATGCTAAACAGAGCCGATCGTTTCACATAAATTTGATGCAACAGAAGGAGAAACAGTTGTGAATTTTATGTCGCTGTTTCGGTCCTCTGGATTATGTGGATTTCCTGAAAATGTGCAATATTTCTATTAATCTGACACGACGAATGACTACACTTCCTGCTTTATTTCTGTACGGTACTAAACCGTCTCTCGTCGCAGTTAAGGTTATTATTATTGGTGAGCAATTAATGGGGTCATCATACGACATTAACGCTTTATTTAAAACAATAATGCAAAAGAGGTCATATAAGACTTGTATTCTAATAGAAACCTGTACAGAATACTAGGGCCACTTCTATTATATCAACTTTTAACCAGTGTTGTATTTACTAACGCCCCAAAACCTTACTTACTTTTTACTTTACTATTTATTTTACTATTTACTTTTCATAATCTTTGTTCTTTACTTTTACTTACTTTTTACGTTGTTTCTCGTAACCTTACTAACTTTTACTAACTTAGTAATAACTAGTAAAATAGTATTTACTATTCGTGTGTTGCGATAAATCGCAGTACGCAACCAAAGTTTTCAATATTGAATTTTACCATATTCGTTTCATAAGTATATTACGTATGTAAAACAAAAAAAATGCTTCTACTCTGGGGCAGTTGCGCCCCTGGCAGTCGTCACAGCATGGAATTTTATTTCTACAGTACTAGCTGCTTGCGGCGTATAGTTGAACATACGCGATGATACCGGTGTCATCTGACAGGTTTTCAAAATTTGGTAATTTCTTCAGATCTCCACGTTTTGTGCAGACATTCCACCAAATGCTGCGGCTACCTACAAAGGTCGTTACAGCAAGGAATTTTATTTCTACAGTACTAGCTGATCTAGGTGTATAGTTGAATATACGCGTTAGTACTAGTGTCACCTAACAGGTTTTCAAGAAAGTGGTAATTCCTTCTGATGTCCAGGTTTATGCGAAGACATTCCACCAACTGCTGCGGCTTCTTACAAAGGTATTTGAAATAAAATAACTGTTGTAAAATTCAAATTATTTACGGAAAAGTTAAATTTCTTCCCTTACGCTTTTGATTGTAGAAAGTTCTTCGCGATCGTCACCAAATTTAGTTATGCTGCAAAAGAAATCTTAGGGTTACATAACCGCTTTAATAGAATACGACTGCCAGCTAATTGTGCACTAAAAAACTGGGTTGTGTATTGGAAAAACCGTACTTGTTCATAAGATGATTTAGATTATACGTCAAGCTGAACAAAACAGTTTTAACCCTCAAATTTGATAATATCGAATAAAAACTAAATCTAAAATTATTATTATTAGCTGTCCCGAATAATCATAATCTTCACCGTAAACGCGTCCAAAAAAACGAGTACTACAGGACGACCAGAAATTATTGAACAGATGCCGTTGACATAGCCAACATATTAAATAGTATCGCGTTTCAGTAGTTTATCTACGATCAAAGTTTATTACATAATTTTAGTAATTGCCGAATTTACTATAGTAGGTGCAGTTATAAATACAGAAAGTTTATGCATGTTACGACTTTAAGGTCTGGAGCTGCTGTCTTTGGCGTGTACCCGGAATTTAATCGATACCACGGAGTCGATCCTGGCGTAACGAATTATAATGAATGGTTCCGCTGTATGGAGTCCCTGCACCTGACCAATTCCAAGCTGACTAGGCCAAGACTGTTTAAGGGCAATTTTCGTCTAAAAACAATCATTTTTCTCGTGAGTTAGCTGTAGCCACTTGAATAGACTTAGCATTGGCTTTGGAATCTATTTGCGGATGTGATCCTATGTTACTGGAAGGAAAAGACCATCTTGGATATGAAAACTATCTACAAATGCCATGCTATGCTACTGGAAAGAATGGTAATCCTGGAGACAGGTCATAAAGGTAGAGATGACCTTTCCCTTCCAGTAGCATAGCATAACATCTGTAGGTTAATTCGGATGCGGATGTTATGCTATGCTGCTAAAAGGGAAAGGTCATCCTGTACTGTAAAGCTCGGGTGCCCTTTCGTTATAAGCAGACTGCCGTTATCGACAATGCAGGTAAGGAAATAATAATTACAGTGTTTTCATGACCTTTCATTGAATACGAAATGTGCGCATAATTATGGCGTAATATTCAGATTTTTGCTCTTTCCACAACTTTTACCAGTTTACCTAAATTGCATCTCAAAAAATGTTTAACTTTTGTAAGCAATGTATTTAAAAATCTTTTTGTGTAACTAGATATGATAATACCAAGCTATCAATGTAAACTGATAAAATTAAAAATTATCACTACCGCAATATAACGGCAAAAGTTGTGATCACAATGATTTGTTAAAGCAAATGCAGTTACTAATTTGTATTTCAAACTTTATTGGTCTTTGATATTTAATTAATTAAAGTGTAGCGCCCTAGTAAAGTTTAACAAATACCGCGAACTTCATCAGTAGTGCAACTCCAAGTAAAATCACTTCAACTCAACTATTGCTCTGCCGAATTTACTATATTGTTTTTAGGTTGTCTGGACAAAGCAGAAACTCCAAAATCACTATTCCGCATTATGAGGCCTCATAAACCTGTTTTAAAACTGGAATATTAAACATCTGGATAAATAAAAATGAAGAATGTATTTAATTGCATATGCACCGAAGGTAATTAGTTGAATAGGATAATCAACTCACGTTCAAAAATTAAGGAAACCATTTGGTCGGTTTTCACGCGCGTGCGTTTTTTAGATAGGGTTCACACTGGAAATTCGGTTAATTTACAAGTTTAAACTAAGTGTTAAATAAAACTAACACGCAATCAACCTTTTCATAATACATAAAACAAAGCCCTCAATTATCATGTTGCTGCACTATTCATCGTATTTGGTTTCTGCTTATGTTTCTTCCGTAAATACGCGTTAAAAGCAGTGTTGCTTTACTTACCAGGGCACATTTTCCGGGTCCAAATTCAGAAAAATCTGATCTTTGGCAGAAACATAGTATACCATCGCAGTATATTTAAAATAATAATTTTAGCTACTCACACTCAAATGGCGTGGCCAAACAAAATTAATAATTAAGTAATAGCACATACTGTTGCACTGCACTAGTGCAGTACTCTAACAGCTGTTTGCATCAGTGTAATAATAATAAATCAGGAAATTCTCCTCTTTTACCGAATGACAGTGTACGACTATAGCACCCTTAAAAAATATTGAACTTTAATATTTATCACAAGTTTCGGGAGCACACTGCACACAGTGAGGAAAAGCAAAATTCAGATGCAAATACAGTGGCGATATGTGGTACGTACTCTTGCACTACTGCAAAGAATCGCAGCTACAAAATGGTTTTTCTACTCTGTCGTCTTAACGCTACAAAAATGGCAAAATTTTCTGACTCTGTCGTCTTAACGCACACATGCACCTTTGATGTCAGCAGCTGAAATTATTTTTTAAATATACTGCGATGGCATACTATGTTTATGCAAAAGATTAGATTTTTCTGAGTTTGAATCGGAAAATCTGCCCTGGTTAGTAAAAGTAAATAGTAAACCTTACTTAGTAAGCCTTTTTGCCTCTTACTAATTAATTAAAAGTAAGTAAGCAGCAAAAGTAAAAGCAGCAAAAGTAAGAGCAGCCGTGGCTTGAGAAGTAAATAGTAAGTAAAAGTAAGAAGCACGAAACGGGAATAGTTCAATTAGTAAATCAGTCTTTTTAATAAGCGTCCGCAACAGATAAAAGTGAAGGGAATGAACAGAATTCTGTGAACATGCTTTTTTCCATAGCAGTTACGTTTGGCAGTACAGATTTCCTTCTGAATTGCCAAAATTTCGCAGCGCTGCAGACGTTTCAACCTCTTAGGTGGGCGAGATACGTGAATGTCAGGCATATAAGCTAGTGTCGCTTCACTGTAATACTTACCTTGGCACCGGACACGGCGTAATGACTTTTGCTAATTTTTGTTAAAAAATAAGTGCTGTATTTTTATACAGAATCAAATCGCTTCGTTGAAAAACATTTCTGAGCACAAATTAAGATTAATCGGTGTGCAAACTGCCCCAGAGTAGAAGCATTTTTTTGTTTTAAATACGTAATATACTTATGAAACGAATATGGTAAAATTCAATATTGAAAACTTTGGTTGCGTACTGCGATTTATCGCAACACACGAATAGTAAATACTATTTTACTAGTTATTACTAAGTTAGTAAAAGTTAGTAAGGTTACGAGAAACAACGTAAAAAGTAAGTAAAAGTAAAGAACAAAGATTATGAAAAGTAAATAGTAAAATAAATAGTAAAGTAAAAAGTAAGTAAGGTTTTGGGGCGTTAGTAAATACAACACTGGTTAAAAGTTGATATAATAGAAGTGGCCCTAGTATTCTGTACAGGTTTCTATTAGAATACAAGTCTTATATGACCTCTTTTGCATTATTGTTTTAAATAAAGCGTTAATGTCGTATGATGACCCCATTAATTGCTCACCAATAATAATAACCTTAACTGCGACGAGAGACGGTTTAGTACCGTACAGAAATAAAGCAGGAAGTGTAGTCATTCGTCGTGTCAGATTAATAGAAATATTGCACATTTTCAGGAAATCCACATAATCCAGAGGACCGAAACAGCGACATAAAATTCACAACTGTTTCTCCTTCTGTTGCATCAAATTTATGTGAAACGATCGGCTCTGTTTAGCATTATCATGAAAAAAATTTAGAGACTGGCGATATTTTATGAGCAATGCTTCAGTAGTGATGTGAATACAACCGTGGAAAAGAATGTATCCTGTTAATAATTCTGAGCCAAAGATTGTGGACCGCTTTTCAATTGTGGATGATTGCAACTGCACAAGCGTGTGATTCGTATCATTTTTCTCACGCGCAAACATAGCATCAAATAACGATGTGCCGATTATGTACTACACAGCTGTGGCCCTGTTAAGAAGCAGATTATCGTATCGTAAATCATTTACGTTATCAGTGCGGACTAAACGGAAGTTAGTTACAGAGTTTAAATGTAAGTGCTTATGTGCATTTTTATGCAAAAATGAACATTTAAACTTGCAAGTATTTACCGTACTAAAGATTTTGTTACGTAGATTACATATCAGAAAATTTTATTATTACAGATACTAAACAATTTGCATGCAGCTCATAATCAACTTTTTTGTACTGTACTTGTGACTTTAGAATCAGTATAAAAAGATAATGAAATCAGTACAAAAATGATAAGGCTACATCTGTACCAGGATTATAATGACTATCACTCAGTTATTGCCTGTGTAGCGGATCTAGTGGATGTATAAAGTCCATGTAATGAGCAACCATAAAAATGAATGGGGCCAGCGAGGCAATATAAACAAGCGCATTGCAGTTTGAAAATCGTTTTCTCCATTAATCGTATAGTAGCTATTTCCATAAATACATCGTTGCCTTTGGAATCTCTCTGCGGATGTGCTGTGCTTCTGAAAGAGAAGGTCACCCTGCGCTGTACAACTCAGAGAGTATTTTTTATTGACAAAAGTTGCGTTACAGGTAAGTTAACAATATTTATTAGCACAGTATCTGTGACTTTTCATTGAGTTAAAATGAGCAACTTTCCTGCTGACTAAAGACGGTTTAAAAGTACGGGCAGCTGAAAGGACTGCAAATTGTCCATTCGGGTTCTATTAAGACGCAGGTTGCATATGACGTTGACGTAATAACGCTAGTAAATAAAATAATAATACTCTCAGGCTCTCAGCTATCCATGATTTCGCAATTCTTATGTGTACATTTAACTTTTAAGTACTTCCGATGCGTAGACCGATGCGTAGACCGAAAAAACCTTGGACATTAAAAAATGTGACATTTTACTTCGAAAGTTTTGTTTTTTGAACAGTTTTCTGAGAAATTCTATTAGTTTTACCTGAACAGCCACCAATCAAACTTTGCTCAGATATATCCCCAAAGATTATTTGCGCTCATTCTGCGCATTTTAAATTTCATTCCGCCCGCTAATAGCAGTCAACTGATTCGCAACCGCTGAACCGCTATAGTCAATTATTCACTTTCGATCTGGTTACAGTACTTTCCAGTTAATAATCACAATGTCTTCGATCATAATTATTTGGTCGATGCTGCGTGCACGGGGAAACACGGTTGTTGGCTGCGTGCACGGAGTTGGGACACGGGTATTCGCTGTTTGCACGGGCGACCTTTGTGGGGATCCGTACGGGTGTTGGCTGGGGCACGGCTTTTTACTGTTTTTATGATTTTTAAATTTCGGTCGTAACATTTATAGTTTTTCTGGTCTTATTCAACCACAACAGTTTTTCGACCGGTTTCTCACGTATTTTTTCATGTGCCATACATAATTTAAAAATAGTTACAGATACTTCGTTTTACGGCTCAGATTTTTTCTATGCGGCTTGATGCAAGTAGAAATGGTGTCAACTGCATGGTTCATAGGCGGCCACCAAGTGTGTTCGCATCAGACCCTGCTCAAAAAAGACCGTTCCATGATCCATCCGGAAAACAAACGCGGTAGCCATGGCTGCATTACAGAAATTCTCACGTCTTTGGCTGTTGTTTCTGTGACTTTCAAGAACTTCATGGTTCTGCACTAACAAGCACTGGTCCAGGTCAATGGCTCTGTGTAAGTCTTACGCGACGCGCAAGCGGCAGTCGGGTAAAAAATCGTGACGTCACGGCGCGTAAGCTGGTAAACGATTTGATCGGTAAACCAGAATTCTGGGATGTGTTTTCAGCTTATCCGTGCGTGTAACCGTTGCGCTTCGAAATCGAAGCGCAACCGTTATCCAAACTACGAGTAACTCGTAACTCTCCTGCACAGATCAACAAAATTTTTGTTTGTTTGAACCAAAAGTGCATCCAGCGACCCAGATTGACACTCCTGAACTTAGAATTAACTTTTTTGATGTAGTACCACATTAAAGCATCAAAAATGAAATTTTCGGTTCCACCTCAGTTTTCAGTTGTTCAATTTCTTTTTGCCACGGAAGCGTACTCGACTTACGATTGGACGATAAATTTTCGCTAAGTTATGGACAGATTTTTTACGCGTTTCTCCGTTACCCGACGCGCAGTGGTTACCCAGATGCAATTGACCTGGCCCATTAGGTGGTAACATATACTGTACTTGCTATGCACAGCAAGTTTCGCAGTACATTTTTCTACTTGCTGTAGGTACTTAACTGTTTTTTCGTTGGAAAATTATGGGTTAAGTGAGTAAGTTTCCATAAGTAATAATTATATAAAAAAATTATAATTAAATTATATATTATTTACACTTAATATAAAAATTTGAATGAGTTACCCGTGCACGCAGCCATAACGTAATTATTTTCAGTGCGTAGTTGCTTTGATAGTTCATACGCAACATTATAATTATTTGAAATTTTATTGCAATTGTTGTGGCATAAGATAGTATATTTTTAGTTCGGCAATGGCCAGTTCACATAACAATGACCTTGCGCTGGCAGAAACTAATTAAAATGATGCGTGCTGACAGTTTGAGCAGTCACAGCACTGGAATGTAATAAATTCCGAATTAAAGTTTGCAAAATTGAAAACAAATTTAAAATGATTGAAACTTTAAACAGTGTAAACAGACTGCTGACTCTCCTTAATATAAGATAGTTAATCCATAGGCCTCAAATTAAACCGTCAAATCTCATTGCGTTTTAGACTGCGTAAATGTAATGCATAACCATTTTATAACCAAGCGTCACGTGCAATGCTTTCCTAAAAAATGTTCTATACAAAAGGTTGTACGTCTAATTCAGCGCGATCTAATTATTAACAAGCTGAGCAGATTGTTTTAACTACACCCCGTTTACGCCAAGTTGGCGGTGTGTCATTTTAATTTTCTTGCGAACCCTATGGCGCATGTTTTGCCAATGTTTTTAAAGTTTATAGTGCAGTTTTCTTTTGCGCATTCATTAAACAAAAACGTAATGGATTTTGGGTTGGAGTGTTGCCAGAAACACTTCCCGAAGCGAAGGCACCAAAGGAACAAGTCATGGCAGTGCTGAAACACAATTTATTTCAACCAGAAATTCCGAAACGACTTTAGGCACCTGAAATTGAGGTCAATTTGAGGACCCCCAACAGAGTGATTCGTGAAAAAAAACCAGACGTCAACAACTAGACCGAACCTGCAAAACGCCTAGGGGAGCAAAATCGCTTTTTCGCCAGAACAAAGCGCTAGTTGAAAAAAGGGATGGTGTCCATTGAAAACAGTTACAATGGAGGGCGGCGCGCTTATGCTGATGATGGTGGTGAAAAAGTTAACGCCTAACACCTCGTGAATCGTATTTTGTGGTGCATGTTCAAGGAGGACTTCCCTCGGCTGCATGGTGACCTCGCAAAGGAGATCGTCCCACACTTTGGCCACGCCCACCGTTATGCCGGTGCCCTGACCCAGGAGGGGCTTCAAGTGGCCAAGTTAACAGACATGGCGTCCTAGGACTACGTCATAAACGGGAATTTAAAACGAATTTTATGTGAGAGGAAAGAAACCGAGATAGCTGGACTGCAGCACGTTTTGAAAGTGGTCTTCTCTAGTTTAAAAATTCCTGTAATTCGTAACAAGCTCAAATCCTGGAAACCCAAATTGCAAATGGTGTTGGATAGATTCAGTGATCCCATAAAAGTTAGAAAACGTTAAATATATTGTCTAGTGGTTCATGGGAACTTTTAAATGGACACCGCCAACTTGGCGTGAACGGGGTGTAATCTCTAGTGATGTGCTACTACAGCTTCCTGCTACCTTACTTACTATTTACTAATCTTCCAAAACTTTTACTTACTATTACTTACTATTAACCTCAAAATTTTTCAAATACTTACTATTACTTACTATTCCCATTTTTCCCAACCACTTACTTACTAATTATACTAAATAAATTTAATTTAATTTGTAACTCAATGTTATTATCATACTGAGACGCTTGTGCATTTCATGAAGGAATTAAAATTTACTGTACTTTATGCGAATATATGGTCTGTAAAGGCAAAATCTAACAGTACAACTGTGCTGCACAATCGGCTTGCCAGGCTGCTGCTGCATTTCACTGTTTCAAATGCCTATAATTATACGTAACGTAACCGCAGTTTCGGGTTGGTGGTACATTGCGTTTACGTGAACAGCACTACCACCGTCTGCTAGAGCACCAACTTTAGTATGCAAAGCCGTTAATGATGAACCAACCCAAGTACAGCAATGAGTTTTTCATCTGGTTATTCGCTAAATTTCTATTAGTAAATGAATTAGTAAATAACTTTTATTTAACGAAAGCTAAATCTTACTATTTACTTACTATTTACTATTGTAGCTGAATATCTACTTACTTTTACTAATTTTGCCTGTAAACTTTACTGTTTACTACACATTTAATTTTAGGGAAGCTTTTACTAATTAAATAGCATTTATTTAGTTTTATTTAGTACCACATCACTAGTAATCTCTCAAAAGTAATTACGTTTTTCATTCCTCGTCTTTTACATGGTACGTAATTTAATTTAATGCAGCATGCAGTGCAAATTGCGTTTAAAACCTTCCTACTCTTAAGTAGAGATTCTACTGATTTCGACCTCTTTTGACTGTTCTCGCTGGCGCAATGCGTGTCTTCGTGCTCCATGATAACTGTGCACTGCACCCAACACTGTGATATTTTCACTACGTATATTAGAAGTCTGAACTCGGTTTGGTTTTTTTAAAGTGTAAAAGTTACTGATTTAAGGTCGTTATTTTGCGGACGCAATAACAATTCAAGCAGATTTTTTAAATTTTTCATTTGAGAACAGCAGTGTGTTCCGTTAGAATGACTAAAGTATTGGGGAGCGATTTTTCAAAAAAACCCACGCGGTACTGAAAAAAACAAACTTTTTTACACCCAAAGTTACTTTATTTTATTTTCTAAAGAGTACATAAACATTTTCCACAAAAACGCTTCACAATTCTTTTTGAAAATGATTTTTCTTTAG